CTCTGAAAAATATGGTATTTATGACGGGGGGGGCGCCTTGTTGCTCTGTGATCTTGGTTGTTTTCTTGCAGACGTTTCATTACCCAATCTAGGTAATATCATCAGTGCTAGTAAGGAATGGGATGGTTTGCCCTGGTGGGAGTGGCCTTGGAAGGCTGGTTAATGTTAGCTTGTTTGGCAGATTGGAATGTTGTTTACTTTTTCATTGTTGGTCTGGTGTTAATCCTGGTGTTATTCGATATTCATTTGATTGACATTGATAGGGCAAGCTACCAAAATATAAATTGAGAGCAAACCCTATTTTTTACTAGCACTGATGATGTGAAAACAACTAAACTCAGAGAGTACTAAGAACTCCTCATCTCAACCACAAACTACAAATATTCTCCTTTATTGGTATCTGTTTATCTCTAGTTCCAGAATGCAGGTTTTGTATTTGAATGTTCCACCATTGCAGTATTGTCTTTCCCGGTTCACTGGAGCACTGCGATAGGCTAATACCCACCCCCTGGGTATTAGCTGCCATTTTATAGATCTAAAATGGGCTGCCATTTTATAGATCTAAAATGTGGGGGAAATAGGAGGTGGAAGCTGAGTTGGATATGTTTGCTGCGTTATTTGTAAAAATAATAAAGACGGGATATATATGTAACTCAACACAACAAACATATCCAACCCGCTATCCAGTGGTGAAATTCATTTTTTTTACTACCGGTTCTATGGGTGTGGCTTGGTGGGTGTGGCAGGGGAAGGCTATTGCAAAATCTCCATTCCCTCCCCACTCTGGGGCCAGCCAGAGGTGGCATTTGCCGGTTCTCCGAACTACTCAAAATTTCTACTACCAATTCTCCGAACTACTCAAAATTTCTACTACCAATTCTCCAGAACCTGTCAGAACTTCCTGAATTTCACTCCTGCCGCTCCCCCCCCCCCCCATATTTTTACACACACACACCAGGGTCACCTTTTCATAGTTAAAGTGGAACTAGAACTCTCAGTCTTCTAGTGATTTGGTCTAAGTCACCCAGCTGGCTTTCATGGCTGAGGCAGGACTTGAACTCAGAGTCTCTTGCTTTCTAGCCTGGTGCCTTAAACCACTAGGCCAAACTGATTCTCCTGCCATTGGGATTCAATGAGTCACTAATGAAAAGGCAGGAAATTCTATCATCTGGTGCCAATATTTTTACTGTATTGCTTTTGGGCAGAACCCATTGTTTCTTTTTCAGCTTCTTTTGAAAAGATTGGGAGAACAAAAACCGGAAGGAAAGGCGAGGCACAAAGTACTCCCAAAAGAATTATCTCTATTCATGACCGTGTCGTAAATTCTAACAATACATATGTAAGGACTACACCTTTCTGAGAGTTGTAACTCTTGGGGATCAAGGATAGACATTCCGAGAAGTAATGAAATACAAAATGTTATCCTAAAGCACTGTCATAGGTTATCCTCGCAATATTTTTAGAAAACGTACTTATCTCAAGTTTCCCTTGTTTGTTTTTAAAATGTCTGGGATTGTTGTTGTTTTTTTGTCTGCTTCTCCAAAATGAGAAATGGTGACAAATATCTAGCAAGCACCATGAGTTGAAGATGCTTGGAAATACATGTTTTCCTACACTGGTGTTTTTATGACTTTTTAATCACCTCCCATCACCCTCGGGTGGCCATACTATTAGAATAGAATAGAGTACGTAGAGTAGAATTGAATAGAGTAGAATAACAGAGTTGGAAGGCACCTTGGAGGTCTTCTAGTCCAACCCCCTGCTTAGGCAGGAAACCCTACACCACTTCAGACAAATGGTTACCCAACATCTTCTTAAAAACTTCCAGTGTTTGGAGCATTTACAACTTCTGGAAGCAAGATGTTCTACTGATTAATTGTTCTGTCGGGAAATTTCTCCTAGGTTGCTTCTCTCCTTGATTAGTTTCTACCCA